ACTTCTTTATTTTCAAGTATTTTTATTTTATTTTTCATAATTTTATTTTTGACAAATATTTAAATATGCTATAATTAATTTTTTAATAGCACGATTATCTATACATCGAAGATAAAATTAATGTTAAAAATCTTAATGAAACGTACTTTAAATTTTTAAGAATTTTTAGCTCTCGGTTTGATGACATCAGAAACGTTTATCGTAAATGGGCAAAGCATGTAAACTTTTTTTATCTAGTTTACACATTGCTATGCAAATCGATACACCAGTTAATATTGTAGTAGAATGTCAATTACATTTATAAGCATATAGGTATGTATTACAATTATTTGTTTTATAATTACTTTATAAGTCCGTTACTTTGACCATTTTAACATTATAGACGTAGGAATTTTAGAAGCATATAAAAATATCAACACATTAAAATTCTTAACAATACCTTCTTTATCTAACGCATTTGACCATATTTGGACAACGTCAATATAAAAAATAAAATGTAATAATAATAAACGTAATCCTTTCTGGACTATTTGATCTAATGCTCTGATCAAGCATAATCCACGGATCTTGACCGATTCGTCGCAGATCTTCAAGATGACGCACTCCCACAGGCTTTGTTTGTTTTTTTTAAGTATTATAAATGTAAAAATACAAAATTACGCACACAATAACCTTCATGTAATCCAAAAAAAAAAAATTGTATGTTTATAAATATATGGGATCAAACAGATTGCGTTATGAAAATATTGCACAACGGCCTCTGTGATACGTGTCTTCTTCGTGACATAAGTGAACGTAATACTGTTATCGATTTTCTTCGTGTTGCAATGGGTATGGTCGTGATCTAACAAAAATTCAGATTGTAGTCTATGAAAATGCACTTATTCGAGAAGTTTTGAAAATGACCTAAGGTTTCTTATTTTTAGCTTCGTAATATTATTTTAACAGACATAAAACTACAATGCCATCTAACCTGTTTCTAGACAATCCTGCATCTGTAATTAGTTTTGGTTTGTTTTTAATAATTTCATTTTCCATGATGTATGTAGTTTAGTGTCCTCTGTTTCATGAAGTATTTATCATTTTATCATCCTCCAATTGTTAATTTCCATTTAAATTAACTGATTTATTGTTATTTAATTATTAAATCCATAATTAATTAAGTTAATCCAATTATAGTATGATCTATTTATTCTGGCAAAAGTCTTTTTATCATAAAATACAGTAACACAATATAATTGTTGGATTTAACCTTAGATCTATATAAAAAAGAACAACAAAATAAACAAATAGATATAATAAACAGTAATGAGTTAAATTCTTACTTTAATCAATCAAAAAAATAACGGAAGGAAGGTGGCGAGGGTACTTGAGCGACGAATGTGGGAAGGAATGGAGTTCCATAATGACGACGATCGAATAATGATGAAGATATGTTAGAACCCGCGTTTCGAAGACCAGAAGCGAGTATTGCGGGTTTAAACCAGCGATGAGCAAATGCTACAATACTGAGTGCCAAGTATTGTATTCATACCTTTTTCGAATACCAAAGAATTTAATCACTACTTCAGTTGATGTCAAACTATTAACTGAAGTAATGATTGATTCTCAATTCTCTATTGAATTCTTAATAGTGATTTAATTTGAGTAAAATACTTGATATTCGGTACTCAGAGTAGCATTTTTTCATATATGGATTAAACTGAAGATTTGGAACGAAGAACCTCGAGATCTCGAAGATGGATCGTACAAAGCAATTTATCATACGTTTTAGTTTCGCCTCGAGATCCCTAGAGTTTACCCCATATACAGTACAGCAATAGCCAAAGTGTAGAAATATTAAGGAAGTGATCTTGTGCCTCCTGGTTTCTAATTGACGGTGGTAATTTAAATGCTTTAAGGTGGAAAAGGCACGGTGGGAGATAATGGATTCATGCTTCTACTTGGAAAGAGTTTGATCAAAGATTATTACAAGGTTTTCATGAAAGGATAAAATCTGATAGGATTATCATTTAGCTGCATTGTTGGGATATTTGGAACAGTTTTAAGGAAGTGATTGGAGCTTTTTGCAAAAGTCTTAGTCTTCTCATTTAACTTCAATATGCTAGCTTCTGTCCAGTCACAGATTCTATTCAAGCCTTCCTGAAGTTAGGTAGTTGGAAATACATTGGAAAGTGGATAGGACAAGTATTTTCTGAAATCTCCAGCATACATATGATATTGTGGTGTGATAGATCAGGAGGGGAAGGTCATTAATATAAATAGTGAACAGAGTGGGTGATAGACAGATACCCTGAGGGACACCACGAAGAGGGAAAGTGTCTTACATGAGCCTCATATTAATCTACATTATAATTTTAAATTTATTGTAGTAATAATATATAATTCCGTATGTATGTATATATGTCCGTACACTGTTAGCTCATTACAATCTTGGATTAGAATTCCCTTCAATAGTCTGCTTTGTGAAGATAGGCAAGATGTATCTTCGAATTTACCAAGGTCGATTTAATGAGCGCTTAAAAGCATTAATTCAAGTTTTGAAGCTGGCTTTACGTGAAAGAACATTAAAGAATATTTACCTAATATGGGAAATATCCAATTTTTCAAACACTTATGGTTCCTGCTTAAGAAGATGAATAAGTTTAGCATAAATCCGTTGTACTAATCTTATCTACTTTAACTAATTGTAATATGATATTCATGTCACAGCATTTGTCATGAAATTTTTTTTTTAATAAAAAAAAATAATTAATTAGTTATCGATCACGGTTTATGACATTATTGTTGACATCGCGTTGATTTTTTGTTTGTTTAATGATTCAGATTTTTTTAGACATTTATCAGGAAGATAATAAAACTAATGATTCATTCGGAGCGATAAGATCTCACCGATGGGATATCAGATTCGATTAGATGTCTTCTAAAATGTTTAGTCTTTCTCTATCTCTTATTCTTGTCATTTATTACTATCGTTAGTCTTAAAATCTATCGTATTTATTACTATAAAGTCTTATTTATGTGTGAACACTATCACATATATATTTACCTTCTAGAAGCCTGACATAACCGATGGAAAGGTGACACAGTGATATTCATATTTGTACAACAGATCCAAAAACACCGGCATTACTTTAATGAACAATACTTTAACGAATCCTCATAAAGGGATACTTTATTTTTTGATTTTGAAACCATAAATAAATTATCTTGCAGTATCTGACGTTTTTTTTAAATAAAATTTTATAATAGGGATTTATGACAAAACAATTTAAGTTGAGGCTCTTCCTTTTTTAATAATTAAGCATTACGAACTACTATCAGCTTTTTATCTACCTTAGGATCGAGAGACTTGGAGCGCCCCTCCCCCCCCAACCTCTGTAAACTGCTTTAAATTGGGAAAACTGCATTGGTTAAATCTGGATATTGTTAAAATCTTGTAATTATATCAACGTTGGTAAAAAAACAGTGTCCTTTGACTATTGAACAAAAATCTTCATGGTTTTTCGTTCTGCTCTTCTTACTTCTATATACGTTTTACCACGGGCGGATCTACGGGGGGAGGAGAGCTTTCGGGCTGAAGCCTCCCCCAAAATGAGAAAATATAACCATGTTTCATCGAAAAAAATATTAAAAAATTATCTCTCAAAGTATTATTGTTCGTGTAATTACATTTAAAAGGGTTTTAGGAATCATTTAAACACAATTTCATATAGGTAGTTAGTTTCTTTCTTTTTTTGCAAAGTAATTATCGTTATTTTTATGAAAAAAAAAACTTTCGGGCTGAAGCACCCCCAAAAATAAATCCTGGATCCGCTAGTGCGTTTTACTAGTTAACAATAAATAAACTGGACGTCATTAAGTATACGAAATGGTTAGAAAACTACTAAAAATATCAATTTTTCCTATAATATCAGGCCTAACGATAATTTTTTACAGGTCTTCTGTCAACACTGTGAGTTGGACGAAATACTGCGGTGTTTTGGTTTAACATAAAATATTTTTTTAGTTGAGCCTCTTTGATTATGGATATACTATATATAATCCATCCTTTGTTAACTTTTCAATAACACTCCACTTCGCTATTGGTGGGAGAGAATTATTCTAGAGGTCCAACCATACCTATTCTAACCAGAATGGGAAAATCTAGATTCGTTCAATGAGTCCGTCACCAAACGCTGGATTTGAACCGGCGCACAGTGGGACGAGGAAGGGAAAACTCGCGACATCGGCTAAATCAATTTCTTGTTTTAAAATTGAACTATTCAATAAAAACAGTGGAAAATGTATATTGTGCCAAATCAAAATATTCTTGGAAATTCCGCGAACAACACAAGGTATCAATAAAACAGTTTATCTAGTTTTGGAGGTTAAAAAAATAAATAAAAAAAAGTGCTTTCGATCCATCTCCGCTGGTTTAGTACCAGTGATGCGGTTGAGAGTGTAGCGCAGGGTTTTTCTGGAGTTTCCTCGTCTGAGTTTATGCTTAATTTTAATCTTCTTTTTTTTAGGTTATTTTATTTTATTATTTATTGTATATACTTTTAATTATTATTATGCTTCTATTTATTTGACATTTTTTGCACATATAGAGTGAATGTTATCCTACCTTACTATAGCCAATGTCCAAGAGACAGATTGTTGTAATAATAAATAAATAAATTTAAAAAAAATATATAAAATAATAATTAAATAAATAATAAATGACAGATTCAAATAGGTGTCGGGAGTTTTCCCTTACTCATCTCTCTGTGCGGCGCTGCTATACTCAAGCATGTTGAAGAGGGCAACGCACTAACACGTTCGGTAATCATGACCTTCCTTTGGTAACAGGTCCGACAGCCCCAATGGAGACAACTCATCCAAGGAAGTTTGGATGAAGTACCCGACTAGATAGGGCCCGAATATGTAAGAGATGATAAGCTGCTTCTTTGATCGATTAGCTGCTCAAACATATCACGAGGCTTAGTGCATCCTTTTTGTGAGGTGTCACTCACAGCATGTCCTTGACACAGTGCATCACGCGGATACTTTTGTTTTTATTTGGCAAACCTTCACTGTGTTTATCTTCTACCATTATCGGACCAGCAGTTGGTCAACTGGAGCGGACGCCTTTATCGATCACGATGGACGTTACGACAAGTCGCTGCCCGCTGCACGTGATACCACCGCCATGTCCGCATGTTCGCATCACGCCACGACCTCTCGTAGATATTCTTTTATTTCGGTTGTCTCTCTGAGCCGATGTGACGTGCCATCCCCTGACTCTATTTAACCAGCCCTCCTTTGTAGGGGTTCTTCAGTCTTCGTACTCCAGCTGTACTGCTCCCTTCCTCCCCACCTAGTCGTTTAGTCAGAAAGTAGTGTGATATCCCGTGAGTGTTTAGTTTATTTGTGTTAACATTTCTATAAATCCAAAATGGTCAAAGCAGATCATCTTGTTCCCTACAACATCGAAGTGGTGAGTTTTATTTTATGGTTATTAAATTTAGGTGAAATGATCTTATGTGAAGGTGGTTTTAAGGTGTCTTTCATTGTTTGTGTTAATGATATTCGGCTACACATGAATTTGGGAAAGTATATTATATATATTGGGTACGGGATATCTCGGTGAGTAAGGCGTTAAGCTTCTATGCTCCGGGTCGGGATACTCCCTGTAGTACACAGAGCCTCTATAAAGTGACAATTGTTTATTAAATAATTAATTATGCGAAAATTAAGAGAGTGTGGTCTTGGTAAAGTCACATCCCTGGACAACAAATGAGCAAGAAACAATTATGGTTCTCTAGATACTTTTATAGTGATAGATGTTATTTATTTATGTGGCTTTATGAATTATAATATAATAACAAAATATAAATATACTTCAAGCTTAATATTACCATATTTAAAACAATAATTTCATCTTTGATGGAGCGAAATCCAAATTATTCCAACTATTTAAACAGTTGGAATAGAATTTTAGCACGTTTAATAGCTTTAAAATAATTTTCCGATACGGTAATTAAAAAAAAAAAAACTTGTTTTTCGGTACCGAAACAATATACATAATTTTATTTCCCCAACTCTTTTCGGATTGAACTTTCAACTACACTAATACACTGACGTGTTTCAATGTCAGTGTTTCAATCATTTTTTAACTGAAATGATTTTTAATTTATATTGTTTTTTTAAGTTTATCGATCCTTTGAGGAAAATGTCTTACCAAACTTTTTACAGTTTGAAAATTATTCTCATATTTCGAATTTCCTAAGTATATAATTCCTTATAAATATAATTTAAATTGCAAGATATAAGTATAATCTCCCATGTAAGTAAAGGCCCAAATATTTATTTTAAGTTTTTACTTTTGTTGTCTGTAATTTTATCCTTTTTTTTCTGGGGACGTGAAAACAAAGAGGGGTAGTGCATGTTTTTTCTCTCCTCTTCAAAGTTTTGCCCAATATTTTTCACTGACTTCTGTTCAGATAAATCTCTGGTCACCATTTTGTTGTGCAACGGCGATTGTGAAATTGATATCCTGATAATTCGCTATAGAGATAACCTTCCCATCATTCCCCGTACAATTTTGGATTCTGAATTTTTAAACACTATAATTTATTTAGCATATGAAAAATACGTAATTTTACATAGACTCTACTCGCCTGTCTATACAAATATCGATGTTGTTTCGCTATCGAGGATTAAATCGATAGTTTTAAGACATACAGACAGACTGAATTTTCCTTGACCTACATCGCAAAGTCCTCGAACTGCTGCTACTCAACTATCACTAATGCCCTTAACCTTGCCAGCTCTGGGCGGGGTACAAGTGCGTTCTACTAGTGACTAGTATTCGTCTACGATTGCAATATGCATAGGAGGTCTGGAGATTGCATTTATGACATTCATATAAATTAGTGAAAAACTCACCAAGAAACAGAACATAAATGTTACGTTATAATTGGAAAAATCCCAACCATACAGTCGTACGCCTCCAAAATGCAAGTAAAGAAAAAAAAACTCTTCAACTTTTCATCATCAGGTCAGAAAAGAAAAAAAAATCGAACAAGACTCTATAACACCCAATCGCGAAACGTTGAAGGATTTTTTTCTTTACTTGCATTTTGAAGCCATTTAACTGTGCGATTAGAATTTTTCCAATTGTAAAATAACTGCGATATTTAAGTATTTTAGAATGATAACATCGATGTTGGAATATATTAAATTTTAATTTTAATGTGTTAAAAGGAGAGTTTTTTTATTATTTATGGAGGATTTTAGACTATTTTTCGTGTTAAAGTAGAATCAATATACGAATTTTTTTTTTCTAGAATAACTTCTCCTTATTTCGCCTTTATGGATGATAGGAATTGCTGGTTTACCCGTGTGAATAATTCCCACAATATATATCGTTCAGTAAAGAAATAGTAACATAATATGGAAATGAGCTAATGCAATGCATTATAAGATGGAAGATTTAATGTTTTCACATCAAAACATGTGTAAAAATTCTAATAGGCTGTATATTTGTAAGCCGGCGTTTCAGAAATAGTTCATGCATTTTCTTGGAGACGTGCCTAATCGTAGAACAGTTTTCTTGGCCCATTTAGATTATCTTTCTTTAATTTTTTTTTATAAAGAATTAAAAATAATTATTGATTTAATCAATTATAAATTGTATTCCTTTTGAGCTATGCTTAATTTTTTTCCGGTATTTTTCCCAGTTTTTTCGGGCATGGTTTTTAATGGTTTGAAGATACTTGTCATGTATGTGACATAACTTGGAGCTTTTAGTATTTTATGATGTTTGATAGAATCGATGTTTGAATTCATCAAATTGTATAGAGGAGAGGTTTTTAGCCTAGACGAGTTTTTTAAACTTCCATATGTCGCCTATAATTATAATAATAATCACTATATTGTTTGGTAAATAACCCTTTATTTAATATGGAAATAAATAAAAATAAGTACAATATTTTATAAGCGAGAGAACTCTTTTTCTTTCTTTTTTTTTTCACTGTAATAACAATGGTTATTTTATGGATTAAGTTCCATCCATTTAATAGGCATGCATATCCACCCTAAGGTATGAAAAAATGATTTTATCTTATTATTTATATTTTACATAAAAATGGTTAGTTTAATTTTGTTCAAAATAGTTGGGGTAAGGAGACTAATGAATATATACTACAATTCAATTTTATCAAATTCCTTCAACCAACTTTGGTAACGCATACGCAAATTTATTTTTCATAACAAGCCATAGTTCAATTACAAAAACAACTCGATCTATAAATTTTATTCTTCAACCACAAAACTATGACCATGAAAGGCCCATTTAGTTGATTTTTCTTCCGTTTTTGTTTTCTTATATATTTATTTAGAAATATAACAATCTGTCACGTGGACAATAATAATAGTGATATACGAACACATTCATATATCACACATACCATATAAACACAAAATATTTTTTATTTATTTATTTATTTTAAATGATATTTACAACTGTATACTACAAAATATAAAATTAACAAAAGTAAAATAATAATCAAAAACGATGTATAAGAAAAAATAAAATAATCTAAAGATAAGTAAATTAAAAACATAAAACACTCATACCAGGCTTCTCCCTTCAACCATAGTAGGAAAAAACAGGACTTCAAGAGATCCCTGCGCTATTCTCTCAACCGCGTCACTGCTGCTAAAGCCATTGGTTCGTTTTTTAAGGAATTTAAAATCCTTATGAGTTTAATCAACTATAAATTGTATTCCTTCTGAAATGCCGATTTTTTTTTCCTTTAATTTTTTGTTGGTTGCTGATACAATAGTTGCATTAATATAACTACTAGCTTTCAATATATTTTTTTTTTTAGCATAGAAAACGTTTTTTCCCTTGTAGATCCTCCCTATGTCACATATAATTATAATTATAATCACTATATTGTTTGGTAAATAAATGAATATTTAATATGGAAATAATTAAGAAATAAGTGCAATATGTTATCATAGGGAGAAATCTTTTTCTTTCTTTTTTCACGGTAATAACAATGGTTATTTTATTACGTTTCATTTAATGATTTCATGAAGTTCCATCCATTTAATAGGCATGCATATCCACTGTTAAACATCCGAAAATGTTTTTTTTTCTAATTATCTATATATTACATAAAATAGTTAATTTAATTTAGTTCAAAATAGATTGGATTAGGAGACTAATGAATATATGGTACAGTATCAATTTTATCAAATTCCATCAACCAAATTTGGTAACGTATACGCAAATTTATTTTTCATAACAAGCCATAGTTCCATTACAAAAACAACTCGTTCTGTACATTTTATTTTCCAAAAGCAAAACTTTGACCATGAGATATAAATAAGGATGAACGCCATTGTCATAATGAGGTAGCTATAGTGACTATTCTTGACAGATTTATTAATTAATTGTCGTTACTAATCTTCTTCGGAAGTCATTAAGTCCAATAGCTCTTATTTTGCTTAGTAACTATACGCACCGATCCCTTTTCGGTGTCATGGCTACCAGTGGGAGAAGTTATCTTCAAGGATCTTCGCCGATGAATGTCCTGAAAACTTCAGATCTTCTCCGCCTTTGGGACAACTGACGAAAGGTTTAGCCAATCGGAGATAAGATGACAATTGCGCTGAGTGGATTGGCAGCCCGCCAACCGAACTAACACAAGAAGGCTTTTAGCGATAGTGCGCTCTCGAGGATGCGGTGAAAGGGATCTGACTCAGCGGTCCTGGCCGAAGATCGTCGACCTTGAACGGAATCTGGGTCGGCCGCTGACCATCTCAGTCAGGTGGCGGCGAAGGTTGGTACCTGATCCATCATCGCGGAGTTGGGGATTGGTGTGTGGTGCGAATCTTGCCCATGTAAAGTTTACGCTTTACCATAGAACATTAAAGCATGTATGGGAACGTTTGGTATATTAATGCGCTCGTTCCGACTCGTATTATTATTTATATATATATTTTTTTTGCTTTAAGGGACTATATTTAATTTATTATTAACATTAAGGAATTATTTTTAAAATTTCCTAAAGTGTTTAATAATTATTCTAGAATTTGGAATTACAAAGTAAAAAGAAACAACTACGATTACGGACGGATCTACGGGGGGAGGGCTTTCGGGCTGAAGCCCCTCCACCCCAAAATGGTAAAATATAACCATGTTTTATGTAAAAGATGTTAAAAAATTATCTCTTAAAGTATTGTTGTTCGTGTAATTGCATTTAAAAGGACTTAAGAAATCACTTAAACACCATTCATATAGATATTCACACCATTCACAGATATATACACCAGTCATATAGTTTCTTTCTTTTTTTCCAAAGTAATTATCGTCTGTTTTATGAAAAAAAAGCTTTCAGGCTGAAGCCCCCCCCCAAAAAAAAAATTAAATCCTGAATCCGCTAGTGACTCTGATGGAATACATATATCCGATGTATTTCTTCCTGATTTCTGCAAGAAAACATAAATGAATTTATTTATACGATTCGACATATGAATGACATAAATATTATTAAAAATATAACAAGTATAATTAAATAAATAAAGGAAGAAGATGGTCCGGAGTGGCGGTCATAAATAGGCTAAATAGTGGTAAAACTATTTTAGTGAAAGCCGACGTTTCGACCCGACTTTGCAGGTCTTCTTCAGGGAGGTGTGTTCAGCTAGGAGTTTCACTTAGAACTGCTGGCCGTTGTTATTTTATTATTTATTATTTAAGTAAATAAAATAAAAAATAATTATTAAGTTAAAAAAAAAACAGTGTCATTTAAATCGACGCACGGTGGAGTAACAATGAAAATTCTTCGCCAAAATTTCAAAATTTATCGACGTTAGGTAGATGGTGATCTTAGGGACGCCCATCCTTCCTAAAAGCTATTGCCTATAACCATCCTCCATATTAAACATATCGTCGATACAATTCAAACTATCGAATATGAAAAATTGCCTTTTTTTTTTTTCAATCCTGCATTCTAGGTATTTTAATTGTAATTACATATTTTTAAACAGCGGTTGCAAAATTTTCATACATTCATAGAAACTTATATTAGTGTGGAAATTAAAACATCCTCGTTGTTTGAGCTGAATTGATAATGATTTTGAAGTGGTGATTTTCAGATTCGATAGTTTGCCATTGTATCGCCGATATAATCGCTCTGTTAGAGAATATTTAATTAATAATTGTGTAGTTTATTTACATTTATATTCGTTATTTCCAAGTGTTGCCCAAAATTGGTCTTGGTCTTGCAACTAAGACTGCCTAACTGTTCCAAGACCAAGGACCAAGCCTAGTAAAAACAATCGATTTTTTAAATACAAATTTAGGCAAAATAGTTACTAATACTTGACAATTTAAGTTACTATATGTAAAGAATTGATATAACCAATATACTTTTGTATTTAACTCCTCTAATTTTTCATTAGGGCTTAGTTAGATTTCTTCTATCTAAAAAATTACAGTAAAATCTCTAAAGTAATAAGCTAAATGGTAACTGCAAGACTGCTGCGAGACTCTCGTCTTATTAAAGTTTTGATAAAGATCTTCCATATTTAAATGTAGAACTTCTGAATTGAAATCTAGAACGAATTTAAATATTCTGTATTTTTAAAATGTCATATTTAGAAGAATATGAATTTTACTTTTCACCTTTTCATAAATATTCATTTAAACTGTTTATTTTTATTCTTATCTCGATGTTCTATTAAAAGAAGCTTTTGAAACTTGAATATACAAATAATGTCAAAATGGTGTATACTTATGAAAATTGTAAATAACAGGGTGTACATTTGCAAGCGGTTCACTTTTCTAGTTGAGAATAAATGAGTAGCTATTTGGAGAAAGCTAAAAATAATAAAGTACAATGCATCTCCTCTCCTCAAATATATTATAATGTTGGCTTTATATGTGTATGATACCATTATATCTTAATTTTTTTTTGGGTTTTGTTATTGAGTAATATAATTCTGTCACTAGAACAATGGTTATAATGTAAGACTACGTTCACACAATATATACAACAAATATAAAATATACAGAAGCCAAATAACAACTAGATACTAATAAAATATATATCTCAATTACACGCTATTATATTTTATTAAGTATTAATAATAAATAAAGTTGCGAAGTAAAAAAGTGAAATTCTTTAATACTATTTATTACTACGTATTATTATTTATAATTTTTATTCTTGGAAGTATTGATTTTTTATTTAATTTTATTCTTGAAGTATTACGATTGTTGGTGATAAATATTTAGGACGCAGTCTTTTTAAAAAAAATTAAAGATAATTAAAAAAATTTAATTATGATAAGTAATATTACGATTGTTCTTTAAATTTCAACTTCATATTAATAATATAAAAACAATTCAAATGATATACGGATCCGTTTGCACAGATTTCCCTTAATATTATTCCTACATAATTTGGTCCTAAAAAAAGAAATTTTTATTATTAATTTTCAATAAATAGCTTATAATTTTTGAAATAATTCCGAGAAACCAATGACATCTTATTACCTTCCTGTATTATGTGTTGTCATTAGGAAATGTGACTGGCAGTTTTAATTTTGGGTTTTAATGTGTTACTGATGATTTGCATTGTATCGTGTCGGAGGTCAGTGAGTGTCTAGTCACGCGCATGTTAAAAAAAAAAATGATTATTTTCTTGACCTCGCAAATGTGGTAGTTAGTTTTTTTTTTTTAACGCAATGACCAGTTAATTGCATTACTGATTGAAATACACTGGTATTACGATTTTATTTTTTAAAACATTTATATAGATGGTTTCGCATAAATAGATGAAACTTTTTATAGGAGCGATGAACAATTCTCAACGATATTCACAAGAGCTTCATAAACAATTGGCCAATTTTTAGCTGAAATGTAGGAAATGCAAGTTTTGCGTTTTTTTTTTAATAGGTAGCGATAACTAAAGAAATATTTAATTTAAGTAATTAACAATTAATTGCTTCACTGTAACAAAAAAAAAAAAATTAATTTCTAAGTTACATATATTTCTGGCATACTATAAATTTGCCATCTACTTCTATATTCAGAAAATATGATACCAAGGATAACAAAACATCAACAACAAAAAATAACAAAACAAAAAAAAATAATATAAAAAAAGGAATGAAATGAAAATAAAATAACATAATATCAATAAAGCAAAATATAACACAGCAAGTAGCTCAATGCCGTAAAGCCCACCTTACACGATCAGTATTATTGAGTCAATATCGAATATATTGAGCGTTTGAGTGAAATATTGTAACAATTATATTGGCATTTGTACTATTTATACAACGTTAAAGAATATTGTTTCAATATTATTGATTCAATAATATTGACCGTATAAGGTGGACTTAAGTCTCTTGGCCATCGCCTCAGCTGTCTTCTGGGCTCTTAATGTTTTTCTCATGATTTGCATTGTCTCGTGTCGGAGGTCAGTGAGTGTCTAGTCATGCGCATGTTAAAAAAAATGATTATTTTCTTGACCTCGCTAATGTGGTAGTTAGTTTTTTTTTTTTTTTTTTTTTAACACAGTGACCAGTTAATTGCATTACTGATTGCAATACACTGGTGTTACGATTTTATTTTTTAAAATAGCTGCAGATAGAGCTTCAGCATGTGACTTTGAATTTAGAGTCAGTCTGTCATAAAAATTATTAAAGCGGTCTGTGGCGGTTGCCGTGATGAAAGGGATGTCAAGGTCAGTGTGTAACGTAAGGTTTGAAACATAAAAGCAGTGTCAGGACGAAACTAAAATTAGCTAAGTTGTATTTTTTGAAAATTATAAATTATTCGCGATTTTTTATCATCCACCAACTATCATACAGATCCCCCACTTTTAAAAAAACTTCCTCGTTTAATAAGCCATATTAAGCGTGATGAAGTTTATTCGGCAAAAACTTTCGATTCACCTCCTATTACTAAATTTTAATTAAAATAAATTTCCCTGTACTTAAAGGATACTATGAGTTCAATATAAGTCCTGAAACTCGAAAGCTTTTAGTAGATTTATGTTATAGATCATCTCACTCGGTGACTCGAAACCGTGCGGTATTTTTTGTCAGAGTTTTTCTTTTAGTGAAAGCAGGAAGCTGTGTAATTGGAGATTGCGTGTATTCCTCTTTTTCAACATTCAGGAGAATTCGAGAGAAAGTTTTGGTTCTATGGAAGTTATCCATATAGCCTTAAATATATTCACATTTATAAGTTAAGAAATGTATAGTAATTGCTGTAAATTCCTAGGAAAATTTAAAGATCTCTCTTTTATATCCTTTGCCAATGTGTACTATCGAGATTCTCAATGTCTAGATTAGTTCTTTTATATATTTATAATGTGTAGAATTTTAGTGCGTGAAATTATAATTAATTTTATTCCAAACGTTGCTAACCAATTTCTACAGAAAATTTATTCTATGTATTCATTTCCTTTCTACAACTTATTCAATAATTTGAGCTCCAATTGTTTCAAGATACTCACAGGATCCCACTGTACAATGATGTGTATTTAGCATCAGTTTATTCAAGAATTCGAACACGGGAGATCAAGTAATTTTTCATTAGCCCTGGGGTCGGAAGATCTTCGTGTGACACACCTAGCCTCTATAAAGTGGGTACTCTTAATTAAATAATTAATTGAGGAAAAAACCAGGCGGTTGAGCGTGATCCTGATCCGATCACCTCCCTGGTTATAGTGGTATAGATATTATTTTTTTTACATAATTTTAGTTAAGTATTTTAATAAATATGCCGTACAAAATTATGGACAAGTTCTACATTGATTTCCCTGAACCTTGATTGAGATTCCTTGCAACCGCATTTTTTTTTTTTTTTTGTCTGGGATGATCCACTTCATGCATTTAACACTTCAGCGAAATGACTATGAGATTTTCGCTTGATTTTTATAAAGTTT